GAGGATGGGATTTAGGCGTGTGGGAGCAGTGAAAAGTCTAGAGGGTGGCAGGTCTTTTGCACAGGTCGTAACCGGCGCCAATCTGCCTTTTTTGAACAAGGAAAAGGGGCTGGTCCAGGGAAGAACTGAACCTAGACCGGTTAAAACCAAACCGAGCAAGGGGTTGGATGCGCGTGACCCTTTTAAAAATCACATGAGGTCGCGGTGGTTTAGGAATGGGCCAAAGCCCATGCGGAATGTTTTGGGTGCCATCAAAGGCCCAAATGGGTCAGCGGGCCCGACCCAGTTTTTTTAAAAAGGCGCGTGAGCCTTTAGTGAACCACGTGACTGGGGACACGACTTTGATAGACGAGGTTAACGGTCTATCATCGTCCCCAGTCGCGAGACAGGGGTGGGAACGCGCACAGTGCCGAAAAGTGGAGAAGAAGCCCGATCTGCAGTGGGTTTCGCGACGAAGGCTGAAGGAGCTTAGCCCCCTGCAACGCCCCTCAGAGAGGCCGAAGCCAAGATACGCTAGGGGAAGAACTGAAGAGAACGAAGAGAAGAATGAAGGCTGGGTGCAGTGCAGTGAAGGTGATGAAGAATCGGAGGACTTTCTATTGATGGTACTAGCGTGGCCAGTGTAAATGACGAAGGCAGTTGTGCTGGAGGTGACATGGATGGGTGGAATATTGCAAGTTTATTCCAGGGTGAAGATTGTAAGCGGCTCAACTCAGTCCCAAGACCACAGAGTGTGTAAGGATTATCAGAAGGGTCAGACCGAGAGAACCGGAAGCAGAGCAGGAACACACCATCTAGGGGTGAACCAGAGGTAGAATGGAAAGATCACCAGGGTGACCAAAGGACGAAAGTACTTCCCAACCAACTCAGGGAGATAGACGTTTACCAACCTTTGGAACAAGAGAGGGAGGCAGGGAGTAGTCCTCTTCTAGTTTGTTCATTAGTCCCAGGTAACCAAGTGATTTCGGTTTGTACTACTAATGTGTCTCTTGTGTCTTTGGTTCCAGATTCCGTTCTGGTTCCATGTTCTGTAGCCCATGAATATGTAGCCGAGCCAGCAGACGGGCTCTCCGAGGAGGGGGAGAGAGGAAGGAAGGATTGTGGGAAGGTGCCGGAAGGAAGGTATAGGAGTGAAAAAGTGTGGGAAATCATTGAAAGAGTGTTTAAGGAAGTGGAAGGAAAGCTGATCTGGAGGAGGGAAGGGGAGGAAGGAAAAGGGGAGAGGATAGTGGAGAGGAGGGAAAGGAATGAGGGTAGAGATGGAGAGGACTACGGGGGGAGAGCAGGGAAGGAGGGAGGTAATAGGAAAGGGAGGGAGGATGGAGAGGAAAGAATAGAGGTGGGATTAGAGGAGAGGAAGAATGGGCAGGTGGACAGAGTTGGAG